CTTATCCAGCACTGAAGGCACCTTCAAAAGCTTAGGAGTGGGGGAAATGGTTTTTGTCTACGAGAATCCCAAGGAGGGAGGAGCGAGTGCTACTGTCGGAAACCGAAACATTAGGACCTCAGAAAGAGTCACTCTGATTGTTGACAACACACGTTTTGTAGTAGATCCTTCCATCTTCACTGCACAACCCAACACCATGTTGGGCAGGTACAGTATACATTGAGCATCATTATTATTTGTCCTTACTCATAGCCACAGTAACTGAAAGTATTTACCAATAAGTAGTGTATAAAATAAACTGTATATGCACATAAATCTAAATATTAAAGATTCTTGGGATTTCCTTTGTCTGTGATTCAGAGAATTAACCAAAGCTTCTTTATTTCAGAATGTTTGGATCTGGAAGAGAACATAATTTCACACGGCCCAACGAGAAGGGGGAGTTCGAGGTGGCTGAGGGCATTAGCTCAACAGTTTTCCGAGCAATTCTGGTCAGTCTCTATCTAACATTTATATCAGTGATTGTAGACTAAAACTTAGAAACAATTCATAGTATAACAATACAATTCAATAGCACTACAAAGTAAAACCTCTAAAATGACAATAAAGCTAAACCACCACCCCTCTATGATTGTGTATTTAATTTAGTTAAGTGCATCTAAGAAACTGGTAACTGATGTATATGGTGGAAATATTATTAGACTAAATGCAGGAAATCTAAATTTGTTTTGTGGTATAGTGAGAGAGTGATATGCTAATTTCTAAAAAGGGTGCTGTTTGTGACTTCTCGAAATGTTTAGACATGGAAACACTTTGTTGTCAGATTCCTGTTTCACACATAAAGGGGAAAAAAGACGTTCAGCTACAGCGCAATATTACAAATAGACAGCTACAGTACATCTAATTTAATTTCTTGATATTTAGTGTCACATACATACATACTACATATTTCAGTTATATTTCATTAACTACATGTTACCCTTGGCCTACTGAGAATCCATCTATTTGATAGATTGAATAATGAATGAGTTCTTCAACCTTTGAAGTCTAAAGCTTCTATTAGATGGCAAAAGGCTTTACCAAAGTAAGGCACTGTTACATTTTATTTTAATTTTATTTTTATTGAAAGCTTTGAGTGTTGATTTGTTTTATGTATATTTTATCTGATGAGTTAATGGATTAACACAGTGTTTGAAATGACTACCTTCTATGTGATTTCTGTGTAATTGACAGGATTATTACAAATCTGGGATAATCCGCTGTCCTGATGGAATCTCCATCCCTGAGTTGCGGGAGGCGTGTGACTATCTATGCATCTCCTTTGACTACAGCACCATCAAGTGCAGAGACCTTAGTGAGTATTTCTCTGAGGCACTGAAGCTGTTAGTGTTACCCCGTTAATGGTGGCAGTTTGAGTTCACATGAACACGAAGCTGTAAATAATCTTGAATCTAGTCGAATGTAGGTAGAAATGTTTTGTTTTTATTTATAGCCTCAGGCTTCACACGAGTTCAACTCATGGTGGGCAGTTCTAATAATAACAATAACAATACACTTTATTTATACAGCACTTTTCAAAACAAAGTTACAAAGTAAGGCTAATGAAATCAGACAAATAGAATAAAACAGATAAAAACGTGTTCTAAGAGCCATTATGAGTGGGTTCACTTCTTCTATCTGTTAATGTCAACCTCCTTTGTTATCAGGTGCCCTGATGCATGAGCTCTCCAATGATGGAGCTCGGCGACAATTTGAGTTTTACCTGGAAGAGATGGTTCTTCCTTTGATGGTGGCCAGTGCCCAGAGCGGAGAAAGGGAATGTCACATTGTAGTTCTTACCGATGATGATGTGGTGGACTGGGATGAAGAATATCCACCACAAATGGGAGAAGAGTATTCACAGAGTGAGTATAGACTAATACAGACACACAGGTCTGCACATACACAGAAGATATGTGTTTAAGAATTGTTGTTTTGTTTCTCTTTGCAGTCATCTACAGCACAAAACTGTACAGATTTTTCAAGTATATTGAGAACCGAGATGTTGCCAAATCAGTTTTAAAGGAGAGAGGATTAAAGAAGATAAGACTGGGTATTGAAGGTAAGTTGGACCTTCTAATGATAGATATTGATGTTTTTAATCTCTTGTCAGCGGAGTGAGCTTTTACTGAAAGGCATTTTATTCAGAAACAGTTTGAGGTACTGACTCTAAGTATAGAGTAGCTTCAAAGGGGATTGTTTTGCTATTACTGAGAACGATGCCTACTGAGATAGATAGTTTTAAGTACCTTCTTTCATGGTGTGATTGGTTAGCATGCTGTAATTGTTGTTCTGGTTATTATAGACAGAAATAGACAAAACATGTCAATGTCGAATTTTTAACACAAAAGAATGTTTAAACATTAGTTTCATGTATTACAATATTGAAGGCATATAGTTTATATATTCTTCATTGGCCTGGCTGTGCCCCTGCTTTGTGTTGGTTTTATATGACCTTCAGCTGCCTCACCTAACCACTTTATGGTGTGAAACTGATTGGTTTGCAGAAATAATGTGAAAATGTCCAAAGTGAGTTATTAAAAAGTCGCTTCATTTTCTTTGGTTGGATGTTTTCTGTTGACTACTGGGTACTAGAACCCTACCTTATCTAATCTGGGTATCATACCAACAGATCCAAAAAAAATCCAGCCATTGAAACCAAACCCTAGTCATAGTGGAAATGTATATCAGAACTACTTCTTAGCACTGAAATATCATTAGTGTATTGACTACTTCACCTACTGGTTAGTGAGCTTTTGCTCTCTGATTCTGGTGTTTTTGTATTCTTGGTGAACGAGACTTGTTAACACAAACAGAGCTAATGATTGGTCCGCACTGTACTTTCGGCAGGCTACCCTACATATAAAGAGAAAGTCAAGAAACGACCAGGAGGTCGTCCAGAGGTTATTTACAACTACGTCCAGAGGCCCTTCATCCGCATGTCCTGGGAAAAGGAAGAGGGGAAAAGTCGCCATGTGGACTTCCAGTGCGTTAAGTCCAAGTCCATCACCAACCTGGCGGCAGCAGCAGCAGACATCCCCCAGGATCAGCTGGTGGTGATGCACCCTGGTCCCCAAGTGGACGAACTGGACATCCTGCCTAATCACCCACCTAGTGGGAATCACTACAGCAACAACTACAGCAACGAGCCTGACCCTGATGCACCTTCACCTGCGGTCTGAGGACACACTGGTCCTCTTTCAATGCCTCTGCCCCTCTCCTACTCCTCTAGTCCTACTCCCAGCATGCTGCAGCATGGAGCGCCAGGGGCACCATAACCATATTGCCTTGACACCTCCTTTGCAGCCTTAGAGCCTCAAGAACCTGGTTGACTGTAGAGAAAGAAACGCGAGGGACATAAGACTGGTGAAAAAAGTGTTCACTATTATTTTCATTTTGTTTTTTACTTGACCAAAGGAATTTATTTTTCTGTTTAGAAAAAAAAACAGTAAAACACTTATTTACATTATTAACATTATTATTGACAATGTTATTGTACCTTAATTTGATGGGTTTGGCTGAGCACTCTTGTGGCGTCACTGTTTTCTCACAGATTTTATTTCACTGATGAGTTTGATTTTGATTCTCATGGGTGGCCTAACTACTAAATGTGCTTTGGGGGGAAGAAAACAAGACTTGCTATAGAGAAAATATGACTTTCTGGTCATGGAGAAATTCAGTCATCACCACTTAGTGTCAAGATCTCCAGTTGAACTTCTCTCAGATGTCTTTGAATCTTGTAATTGGGTATGTAGTCATTGGCTGGATCTGATATGTGATGTTATGCTCCTCCCGCAGCCAAGATATGAAGCAGAGCACAAGCTGTTGTGGTCAGAAAAATTTGTGCAAAGCTTGAAATTGTTGTTAAAAAATAAAACATAAAATCATCAAATAAAGACATAAAAATAACATTTTTGTATATTTTATCCTTGATTGTAAAACCTGTTGATGAATACAGTAAGACCTGTGACAGGAGTGAGCCCACTGATGTGATGAATAACACAGGAAGTGAGTGAATAGTAATGTACGCTCAAGAGGGATATCTTACCGAGAATGGATCACAATATTTAATTTTCTTTGCACAATGAATAAAATATTAAGAGATACAGATGCTGCCAGTGAGCATTTGCCACCATGGGAATATTAATTTCCAGAGTCTAGAAGCAAACCAAAAAGAGTTTTTCTCTATGGGGCATGACTTAGCTTAGACTGGGATATAAATGGAAACCGAGCAATAAAAAAATGAATACAACTTGGCTTTCACTTTAAATACAGATTATTTGCTTTATCCAGTTAATGCAAAAACCAAAACGGATTAAATACTCCAAAAAAAAAAATGTAGTGCTACAGGAATAAATCAGAGAGATTTATGTCCTTACACACATAGCCTTATCATGCAGTACACTGAACTGAGATCAAGACTGGATACAGCCAAATGACTGCACTGGAAAACGGATCATCACATGAACATTTCTCTTTTTGAGTTTTTATTTGCCCCAAAGCTGATCTTTTTTCCTTCTTTACCTCTTTATTATGGCAGAAAACAATCTTTGTTTTAAATATCACATCTTATAAACTTTCTAATGTACCTAGATGCCAACTTCCTTTAAAGGTCCAATATGTAACATTTAGGAGGATCTTTTAGCAGAAATGGAATAAAATATTAATGTCAGGTATGTTTTCATTAGTGTATAACATATACAGAGGTAGCGGGTCCTCTTCAATGGAGGCTGCCTTGTTGAACCGCCATGTTTAAACTTTCTACAGTAGCCGGGGAATGGACAAACAAAACACTGGCTCTATATAGTGCCTTTTGCGTTTTTTGTAACCACCCTAGTTTCTCCTGCACACTCGGAAGGCTGAGCTGTATACAAATAGTTGCATGTTGGAACTTCACCACTAGAGGGCACTGAGTCCTACACACTGGTCCTTTAATGATTGATAATTGACCACATCATTTATCATGCCAGGTACAAATCTTGACCTTCTTTAGCTTGACCTGGAGACTGAGGCGCAGAGCCCTCAGCATAAACCTCTTGTGCAGCCTCCGGTGCTTCAAAAACATCCTCTTTGGCTGAAGCTGTGACCTCCTGTGTCGTTGAGTAGTCATGGGCTCGGTTGCCCCTTTGCTTCTGTCTGGCCAAAGTCTCCACCTTTCCCCCCACCAGGTTCCCCACAGATGGAACAGCCTCCTCAAACACCTTCTGGCCCTCTGAGCTCACAGTGGACATGCACATCCTTTCACTAGTAAGGAAGGTAAACAAACGTGGAGTTATTTACAAAAGTAACCAATCTGCAATATTTTATTTCATATTTTATTCTCACATTTTTTTAGTCAGTCTACTGTATACCAACAAATTAATACAGTATGAATCATTTCACATTGAAAGTAATTGGGACTAAGGAGACAAAACATATTTTTTTCCCCCAAAATTTCTGTCTGGTATCCCCTTCTCAAGACTTAAAAACATCTACTCTTTATTATCATTATCATTATCGTCAATATCTGTCAGGAGATGGTTGTACCTCTGGATTTCCAACAGTTCCTTGGCAATTATTTGCCCAATCTCCCCAGCGCCTGCCCTTGTACCACCAGGAAATCCAGACACTCTTTGGAAACCCGGCTTCCCTTCACCTGCAACATGACACGTGTTACAGAATGTGCTGCTTTGCTTTGATGATTCAAATACCTAAAGGAAAGTGTTGCATCACCTGGCATCAGTACAGTGGCCATTGTGTGTGGGAAGGCAGCCATCTGATGATAACAGTACTTAGGTCTGTCTTCTGAAGGACTGTTGGTTAATAAAAAGTAAAAGGAGGAAGGAGTCATGGCTGTGTATCATGTCATATGTAGCTCTAATGGCTCTAGGGATGACAATGTCGGTCTGCTGGTTGGTCGGTCCATCACTTTGGTCCAGACAGAAATATCTTGACAACTATTCATTGACTTTTGTGCTCCCCAGAGGTGAATCCAGATTTTGGCGATCCTCTGACTCTGCCAAACGTTTCACTTATCTGTCAAATATCTCAATTTGGTACCAATAACCATGGTGCCCAGACAATGAATCCTGCTGACTGTGGTGATTTTATTACTTTTCCTCTATAGCTCCAGCATAGTAGATGTAGATGTCTGGTAATCTAATGCTTAATAAAAAAAGATATTACATAAAATATAAAACTAGAAACTGCAAATAAAGAAATAATGTTATACAAAATGATGGTACAAAGTGATAGTATGTTAAAAGCAGTTTTACTTACCTGACTACAGTATTGGTAGAGACGATGTACTCCACCTCTTCGGTCCAAGGGTTCATAAAACTGAACCAGCAGCTTCTCAGTGTGATGAATGAGCCATCTTTTATTTTTAACTTGTAGCAGTTCGTATTGATCTTCTCTCTCATCTGCAGCACTTGCAGCAGACAGCGACAGAGGGGGACAAGGACAGGTAATGGATGAACTGTCCTCAGGTAAGATGAATTACAACACTATTTTCGCCCATAGCTCCATTCTGCTAGAGAAATGGCAGCAAAGCACTGTAATTCTGCCAGAGCAGGTCATTCTGCCATGCACTAATCAGTGTGATAACTGCACAGTACATGGAGAGCAGCCCGATATATATACTGTGGATATGTAAAAAAAACAGTTAATCAAGTGCTGTGTTGTCCCTTCTGTAAGATGCATACCTTGCCGGTGAGACTCAGCTAAATGAGCAATATCATCTTCATGACAGTATTCGTAAAATGAAGTTCCCAGCAGCTCTTGCGGTAGATAAGCCAAAATTGCAGTGGCCCTTAAAAGGAAAAGAACATATTCACTGAGAAACATGATTGATAATAAATACTTGCACATAAACATTAAATTAAAGTTGATTCAAAACTTGGCAAAAGTTCTCACCTTTGATCTACAAAGACAAACTTTCCATCAATAGCAAGACGTGAAACAAACTCGATGGGCTTGAGCTTAATGTGATTCTGCACTGGCTGAGAAATAGAGTGGGGATGTAAACGACCAACAGCCACCAGACAGCTTAAGTTACATCCATCATTGTCGTCCTCATTATTTTCATACAGATCCACCTCAGTGGGAGACCAACTCTTTAAGTAACCAGTGCTGTGAATGGTGCAGAAGCCCATAGGATCTGCTGTAAATAAAGGAAACGGGTCCGATTAGAAAATGATAAGTAACATTAATGTGTAAGTATCAGACTTTGGCAATAAGTAAGGGATATTACCATTTTTTTTCAAGCAGCTGGTGGAAAAATCTTCATCTTCCATGTTTCGGTTGCACTTCATCCTGCAGAAAAATGAGCGTCTCACCCCAGAACAAAGTCTTAAAGAACTTGGGTTGATATCTGTCTTCACTAAAGGACCCACTGAAAAGCAAACATGTATAAACATTTTAAAAAAGGGTAACAGTGTAATGGCAGTCTGTAAATTACAGTGTTATCTATAACACCAATAAAATGCAGACTATTAGTACAGTATTATTGTGGATTACTTTTTGCATCGATGATTTTCTCTCGCGGTTCGGTAACCGCTGAGTACAGCTGCTCCTTGACTTTGCCGATGTCTTGAGGATGCATATAATCAAACAGGCTCTGACCAATCAGGTCATTCTGGAGACAGAGAGACGAAATGCAGGGAGAGGAGTGAGGGTGCAAGATGCAACATTATTATCTAAGACCATATTACACAATTCAGTATCCACAATATGCCATTTGGTTTCAAAATGTGTACTAGTAAAGTAAAATGTGTAACACACTGAAGTGAGATTCTGTAGAACTGTTTCATGTGTCATTTAACATTACAGAAATACTAAGTACCACCTACCTGGCTGTATTTTAGGATCTTGTATACTGATTCAGAAACAAACAGTATTTTCCCTCGATCACAGTCAACAACAAACAGAAAGCCATCAGCTGCCTGTGGACAACAGAAGAGTAAGACAAAGACCTGGACAGACTAAGACCAAGAGGGTTTTCACAGGTTATAACATCTAAATGATCCAATATGAAAACCTTGCAGTCAGACTGACCCAAGGCTCTTAGTGGTACGAATACTCCCTAACCCTTGATCCATTGATTTCCTGATGTCAGTGTCAGAGTGGCCACAGGGTGAGCAGAGTAGTTCATAAACATTTCCTTTGCAATTTCCTCTGCCCGTGGTTTTCTCTTTCTCCTAACTTCCAAGTGCCCATGACGTCCTTAGATGCCAGCTAACCTGCAGAATAATCACATCTCAGTCGCTTATATCTGCAATCACATACCTCTGACCAGTACCCTAAACTCATGACCATAGCTGGGGGCTGTAAAATAAATTGATTTTGAGAATGTGCTTTATAGCTCAGCTCTCTTTCTTCCTCCAAGGTCTGATACAAATACTGCATGCTGGTCCTAAATGCCTGTCTCATGATTCTTGATTTCCTCACATATACCTGCCCCCCTCACTTTAACTGACTAATCAACCTTTTTCCTACAAACCACTCCACCGACATCGTAGGTCATGGTTAAATGATGGCTCTTAATTTCATCATCAAATTACTTGGACCAAAATACACTTAATTATGTGGCTTCCATCGGCGGTTGTAGCTCTGACTTACCTTGCAGAACGGTTCAGCCATGGGTGAGCACTGCTATTCATTAACATGCAGAAAAATAACAGGACTGCTCAGACAATAAAGCGTCTGTGAGGATGGCACATGCCCGCTCTAAATGTACGTGGCAGTTTTTTGTGGGCAAAGCAATATGGAGATAAAATCTATTTCACTAGCACATCACAAAAGAACCTAACAAATACAAATAATTGTGAAACAGCCTCTATTCTAGAATAAGCAGGAATTATTCCTCAAACAAGGAAGACTTTTTTTGACCTGTTATCTCAATTCAAATAAAACCAATTTAAATTTTGAGGTGGGCTATAACAGTGCTGTTTTTTATTGAGGTTTGAGCATACCATTTGATAATTAGTAGTGTGATGTTTTTGAAGGCTTTCTGTAGTCCAACTTGATTTGCATGAACTGATAAATACAGTTTAAGTTTGAAAAAGTTGCACCCTCATACATACATTTTTCATTTTCATCCACGATGGCAGACTTACCCTCTGTATTAAGTGTTTTAGTTCCTCATCTGATAAGAAGGCAGGTTTGTGATTAACTTCTGTGTAACGGTTACTAGCAGAACCTGATTTTCAGAGACAACATATTAATCAGCTGATTAAATATGAATCATTTACAGTGTTCAACTGTAAGAAATCATAATTTTCTCACCTCGTAAGGTCTTCATGTGTTGGACTGCCATACGCAGGACTGAGAGTTTGTCCAGTTTGTGTGATTTACCATTGCATGTAGGCACTAACGATGCCAGCTCATCTATGAAGCTGTTCATCTTATCCCTGCGTCTCTTCTCGATCTGACTGTGAGTCCTCCTGTAACACAAACAGTAAAGAGATCATTTCCATTCTTGTTTCCATACTATCATGTGAAAACAAAAGCAGCTGTGGTCACCTGGCATTCTTATTACAGCCTTGCTGGTCATCACAGTCCCTGTAGAAATAGGACGCATTGATAAAGCATGCAAGACCTCGCAAATATGTTTGATTATGATATGGAAGTGACGCTTTTTAGACATTCACCGCTGGAGTAAAGCAGTATTTTATTCCACATTTCACACAAAATAGAATGAAAAAGTGGTGGCTCTTGATACTAAAGTCAATGACATAAACAAAGCTTCTTTAATTTATTCTGTGGTAATAATGTGTGATATGCAGCATTAAATTATATTATAAGAATAAAAACATATTATAAGAATAAAAACATATTATAAAACACAACACAAATCTAACATCTGAAATTGTTTAACTAATATTTTGGGTAACAAAATGTTTTCTTTTACACTAAGGACACAGCACAATTAAACTGATCACTCTGTCAACAATTACAGCTTAATCCTTCCCAACAGGGAAACACAGTAGACAAAGAATACTGCAGGGCTGATAGATAAACACAAAATTAATATTTAAATTATGTAAATATCTTTTAAACCCAGGACCAATGCTGTAAGAACATGCATTTGTTTATTTGTCATACTTTACCTTCAATCACTGGTAATTATTTGAAAAACACTCCAAGAGAAGATAATGATAATTATGTAAAAGTCTATAATGTCAGATCTATAAATAAATGTCACCTTACATTAATGCGTAAAGAAATCAGTTACTGAATATGTTAAGGAGCTCAGCCACAAAATGTGTTTAAAAGATACACAATTTTCATCTCAAGGTAGAATGACTGTGTCATATCTTTTCGAGAGGTGAGGATATTTAGTTCCAAACAATTAATAAAATGTTTTTAAACAAGGAACTTTCAACATCTGAACAAAGGAGGCAAACAGAAAGCAAACACATAGAAGGACACAAAAGCAACACATTTGATCAGCCTGCAGGTGTAATGTGCAGTAGGAGTGTGTCCGTGGACTGACTTACAAGTATACGGTGGAGCTTCCTTTCCTCTTCAGAGAAAGTTTTTTGCTGGGTGTGTGAGTGAAACAGCTGATCAGGTTGGATGACTGTGAGCACATGAACCTGCTCATCGTAGATGAAACGTCCATACTTTAACCTGTCAGAGGGTGTTACATAAACCACCAGTCATCAGGTTGTTATTAAACTTGAGAAAACAATGCTGGTACTTACAGCAGACTCAGGCAGCGGCTCTCCACAATTCACCTGCTTGATAATCAGTACACACACCTCAACAAGGTAGCTAAGAATCAGATGTGGCATATATACTGTAATAGGAAACTGAACTTCAATCAAGATATGGTAAGACCCTTTAAGATGACAATTTTTATCTACGATTAACCATCTTAAAAACAGGACGTGTATGTGTTTCTTAACTGAAGATCCAAATCAGCTCTGCATAAAACATGATACATTTGATAATAAACAGGGTCTGATGTAACTGTCCTGTAAAAGGCGATTATGTAAAAGGATGCTGTTACATAGCTTAAGTAACAACTTCCCCAAGTTATAGTCTGCAGTTGATTGTCATGTTGGCTAATTAGAAACTTTGGACTATGATTTTAAAAATGATATTTTAAAAATACATTTTCAGATTTATCAGAGTTGTTTCTGAAAAGATGAAGCAAAGTCAACCTGAAAATAAATAAAGTTGAACAGATGGCAGGAGTAATCACACACCTGTTTACACATTATCAATGTCCGTAATATGAGCTTTTTGTTGGCACCGGGGATTAAAGCAACATTTTGTCCTTACAGTTTCCAACACAACATCCTCATATTACTAAACATCATAATCCCTCTTTTTTAGTCCCATTACAACATTGTTATTAGCCTATTTTTCAACGTTTACTATTATATAACAGCATCTCTGGTTTCATCAGATTATACTGAATGTCTCTTTAAGATCTTATTCTCTATGCACTGCTAATGCAGAAAACACAAGCAAACACAAAACAAAACGGAGCTGAGTTACAACACAACAAAAGTTTCCAGGGGACATAAAACTGATAGGCAGAGCCCTTTGGGAGCTGCTGTTGAATGCTAACAAAGTAATTGTTGTTTTATTTTTGTTTAAATGGCAAAGTGCTCAGGTTTTACAATCCAGTACAGAAGTATGTTTTCTTAGAACTATGGACAGAACCCCCTGAGGAACACGTTTAAGCTGTTTAGAAGGAAGAAATCCTCTATGGGAAAAGTTATTGGGTTACATAGGCTAGTGGAAAAGTAAACCCAACCTAAAATGGAAATTTAGGTTGGATTTTTTAATCTCAGTTCCAAACTGAATTTTGGATCGCTCTGCTAACGTAACAACAAAGGCGGATAAAACCATTTGGGCTATTCTTGTGTACAGTGTGACTCTTCTAAGTCCTTTCCTTAAACAGCTCCTGTAGTTTAACATTATTCATAGAGCCAGAAAGAGGCTACAGGATGAACATCAGCAATTCAAAATGGACACAGTGATCTATGTGCATCCTAAATGTGAAACTAGAACAATGAGTGCCCTACCCAGGATTTTATTGAAGAGGTTGCTGGGGTTGATATACCTTTTACATCCACTGTTAGGGGACTCATCTACTCTGCCTTTTGATAAGAGACAAAAGGCAGGGTTTATTAAACCTGTATTGATTGATGAAAAACAAAGCTCCCAGAAGAATGAGCAACCTCCCTCCACTTTCATTTGACTCTAGGAAATTGCTTCATAAATGGCTTTTGGAAGAAAAAAAAAATCAATCTGAACAGTGTGTGTTTGATAAGAATCAGAAGGATCCTGCTAGACCTCAATTTAACTGGCCACCATGACAATCTGACTGACTGTGTCATTATTATTATTTGTTTGTAGAAGCAGCAAACCATGATAAATGCAGTTACACAAGAAAGTAAGTCAGGAAATCAAAAGGCTTGTGTTGTCTTTCAAAACTTGTTTAAAAGTTTATCATTACTGTTGTAATTTGACCTCATAAAAAGAGATTATCTCATCAGCAAAGACCTTTGGACCATCACCCCTTCTCACCACATGCTGGCAGCAGAGCACAGCAAACAGATAGATTGATAGATTCAGTTAAGTTTGAAAGATTTGAAAAAAATAAAAAAAACTAGCTTTGAATAAAATTTTTGTTCACTGAAAATGAAACAATATTGTGTACTTACAAAACTAACTAAAATAAAGTAGTTAAATAGTTTGAAATGTCTTTCAATGTCTGTCAATTTGGTCAAGTTTGACAACCACAAGCATCGATTTATATGTTAATTGACACTGGGAAGTTTATCACTGAGTCAATGTGTTTGTATTGCAACACCTATTGTGACCACATTATAATAATTAAAAAAACTAAAAATTAAAAATATTAAACAATTAAAACTAAACTGAAACGAGCAAACCCACTCCGGAAACTAGCTGAAACAAAACTGAACTGAAACAAATAAAAAATAAAAACTCTAAGATACAGTCACAATTTCAGAGTAAGACTTCAGGCAGTCCAGGGTCACTCTAGTTTATACACAGAGGTCATTGAGTTCAGTCCTTTTACTGCTGGGTTCCCGAAGAAGTCCAGGGCTCCTGTCACAACTTCTGCTACATTACAATACATTTATATGGCTGATTATTTTGTCCAAACTTCACGAAAGAGGTGCATGTAACCTTCAGCATCACACATTTGGTAACTTAATCCCTCCCTCCTGTTTAGTTTAGAAGATAACACACTGGTATCAGTGTTTAAGCCAAACCATATACAAGCGAACATCTTTTTGCATTTGAATTAGAACAAAAGATAAATGAACATTAAGACCGAACACTGGGTCTTAGACGGCAACCTGCTGAACATCCTTGGCTTGTATCTGCAGTAAGTGATGACACATCAATCAGCCTTATAATGGACACATAATTGATGCCATTAGCACACATCACACCTAATACATTTAATAATTTGGAGAAATACATAATTAGATTAGCAGGACAGTTTAATCAGTGCACACATTAAAAAAAGAAATGATGAGTGAGAGATTTAAACCTCGGTGCTTCATAGAGGCACAAAGATCGTTTGGCTTTTGGGTTGTTTTCTCACTTTTTTAACAGCTGGGCGAGAACAGACTGTGGTCTTCTAATTTAATATAATTTGGGCAGATAGATGTGAACATGCAACATTATACCTTATTTAACTCCAACCATCTGCTCTTTTCGTGGGATAAAGTGTCAGTGTAGCACATATTGACATGTGTAAAATCAAATGAAAAATGTGTGGCCTGTTTTTAATGCAGCATTTTCTTGTGACCTAAAATAAAAGTCTTCTCTGTAATTAAATAATATAAACACTCACATGTTGTTATTATAGTGTTTCCCACAATAAATTGCGAGGTTGTTGCACTGCTTTTGTTCTCTTTAATTTCACAGTTTATATTTCAGGATTAACATGGATTTGTTTGTGCTATATAAATCTAGATTTGTTCAGCTGATCAAACCTATATAAGTGGAAACTCTATGAGAGCAGAGAGAAAAACAAAAAAACAGTATAGCCTTGAAAGTTCACTCAGCTGTTCATCTTTTTTAAAGCCGCACACAAGACACAATAATAAATACTTCTGCAGATCTAAGCTCACAATGTAAAATGCAGTTGCAGTCATAAAGGATAAGGTAAAAATTTGTTAAATGTAGATTTGGGTATCATCTGAATACTGCAAGAAGCAATTTGTTTTCTTGCTAAAAAAATAAAATAAAACAAAAACATAAAAACACAATGTGAAACCAGAGACGAGGCAGGAACACAAAAGGTCAAGTGTCTAAGTCAGACAAAAGTAATCTGAGACTAAATGTGCTAGTGGGCAGATTTGTGTCTGGTGACTGAACCATATCAGACCACGCATCAAATGAAAGGCTTGATACTCTGCTACAGTGGAATATAACAGTGTTAATGTGATTATAATGTCAGGATTTTAAAACATAACTATGTGCACAATATGTATATATGTATATATATATATATATATATATATATATAAGTTTTTGTCTCTCT